CCAGATAATAAAGAATTACAGTAATCCAGTCTAGACTTGATAAATGCATGAATCAGTTTTTCTGCATCATTTTTGGACAAAATATTTCTAATTTTAGTGATTTTACGTAGGTGGAAGAAGGCGGTTCTGGTAACATTTTTAATGTGGAGGTTAAAAGACATGTCCTGATCAAAAAAATAAATAAATAAAAAACACCAAGGTTCTTTGCATTAGAACTGGAGGCCAGATTAATGCCATCCAGAGGAGGTGAAAGGCTACAAAGTTGATCCCTAAGATGTTCAGGTCCAAGAACCATAACCTCTGTCTTATCTGAGTTTAGAAGCAGAAAGTTAAGAGTCATCCATGTTTTTGTGTCTGTAAGACATGCTTGTAGTTTAAGTAACTGTTTGGATTCATCAGATTTCATGGATAAATACTGTATAACTGAGTATCATCAGCGTAACAATGGAAATTTATCCCATGCTGTTTAATAACTTTACCTAATGGAAGCATACACAAAGTAAAGAGAACTGGTCCAAGCACTGAAACCTGAGGAACTCCATGGCTAATTCTGGTGTAAGGATAATATTCATTATTAACATTAACAAACTGAAATCTATCAGTTAAATAAGACAAACCATTTTAGAGCTGTTCCTGTAATCCCAATATCAAGTTCAAGTCTACGTAATAAAATATTGTGATCAATTGCATCAAATGCAGCACTGAGATCTAACAGGACAAGAATGAACACAAGTCCACTGTCTGAGGCCATGAGTAAATCATTAGTAACTTTAACCAGTGCTGTTTCTGTGCTATGATGAGCTCTAAACCCTGACTGAAACTCTTCATATAGATTATTTCTATCCAGATGTTCACGTAGCTGATTTGCAACTAATTTCTCAAGAATTTTTGAGATGAATAGGAGATTAGATATAGGTCTATAGTTGGCCAGAACTCCTGCATCAAGATCAGGGCCCATATTCATAAAACTTCTTAGAAATACTCTTAAGAATGCTGCTGAGTGGACTTAAGTGTAAAACAATTTTTAATTAAAAGCTGAGAGTAAAAGTCAGTTATCAAGTGTCTCAGTCTTACTTTAAGCAAAGTGTAGGAGTAATTCTTAAGTGTCAGTCTTAGAGCTGAGGTGGGGAAGTGTGTTTATCTGGGAAGGGTGCTGTTGGACAGATCACGTATTTTGTGATTCACTGACGGCCTTACCTTCCACTGTTCAAGATAATGATGACTGGTAGATAATTAGTTATTACTGCATTTTAATTTTAGAAAACACAAATCCGCTTATGAATTATAAAAATTAGTAAGTCCGCTAAAGCGCAAATGAAATATTTAGGTCCGCAATCAGCGAATTTGCACCTTAGCGGGCTTGTGTCCACCACTGCGTATCACCCATCAAATTCATTGTTCCATAAGTTGAAGTTACTGAATTTGTCTGATTTGGTTGATTACAGTAGTTTATCAGTTATGTATAGGGCTCATAAAACACATTACCTTCAAACATCCAATTACACGTTGTTAAAAGAGAGAGTTGTTTCAATCTGAAGGGGATAGGAATGTTTGTCAAACCTAAAGTTAGAACCAGTTTGAAGAAAATTAGTGCTTCAGTCCAGGAAATTAAATTATGGAATAATCTGGAGGATGACGTTATAAATGCCAGATCAACGTGTACATCTTAGAGAATGATAAAGGTTAATTTGTTGGAGAAATATGTATGGGTATAATATAAGAATTGTTGCTCAAGAAGGAATTAAACCTTTGTTTTTTTATTTTTTTGTACATTTTTGTAAATTGAAGATAATTTTTGATTGAATTTATTTATTTGAGAAAAAGGGGCAGAAATCATAACATTTTTTCTTCTGCTACCTTTCGTTCAATTTGTGATTTGCATTTTTATTGTATATTGAATTTATGTTTTGTTTTAAGTGAATAAACTTTATAAATAAAAACTAAAAAAAATGTTGATATGAAAAGGTTAAATGCCATTGAGAAGATAAAATGATACAC